TTCTTGTTTTTATCGAATTGCGAAAAGAAAAATTCGTGAAAAAATTCGAATTTACAATTCAAGCCTAGAATTTCATCCATACAGTTACAATTCTTTTGGATTGATAGAATCACAATGACGTACTTTACAATTCATTTGAATTTCATGCAAAATTCTCCGAAATATTATCCCACAAAACAGATTCTCATTACAAATTATACTTTTTTATCGAATTCCATTTTTGAGTGACATATTTTACATTTTGTTATTGTGTTATGGCCAACATAGTTATTGTCTTGGTGATGACGAAATAATAATGACGATATCTTGATATTATTCAAACTAGCACTTATACAATGCGCAATACAACCCATTAATTAATTAAATTTTTAATGGCACTTTCGTATGTCGAATGAAAAGTGTAATTACAGGATTGTTTCATCGGAATAAGGGTTTTACCGTCAATGAGCAATCTCTTCATCGTTTCTGAGCTAGCACAGAAGCCAGCAATGAAGCTAACACAGAATTCAGTTTTTCAAGAACAACGTTCCATTTGACGACATGGAATTCATGTCATGGATTAAGAGCGTTTGGACGATATACGATGATTATAATCATCAACAATTATTATTGATATATAAAGATAACTTTCAATGAATTATTGACTGCCAGCCATATTTGAAGATTTTTTATTCAGACAGGGTTTTCAAGTTGAACATTTTATTAAATTAAATGTAAATTGGCATAAAATGAAAGCTACAAACTCAAAAAAAAAAAAACTTCTTGTTATCAAAAATTCATGAAAAGTTATGAGGTCAATTCGAAAAATTGACTGGTCGGATTTGCGACCAGCGCCAATTAATGGGATGATTATGATTTTCAATTTGATATTGATTTAAATCTTTTTCAAAACCAGCGCATGAGCAATGGAAAAATAACTTAAAAAATTCCATTTTATTCTTAAAAGCAAAACATAGAGATGATTTTTTCGTATACACTTACATCACAAGCAAATTGAATACTGTACAGTGTACACTAAGCGTAATGTCTGCCAAACTGCATCAAAAGGATCAATGAATATTTTTCTATAGAAATCGACTCATGAATATGCATTACAGCATGAATATTTCAATTTCGAAATGCACAATTTCGAGTGTGCAATCATCGATGCGATGCCAAGCAGCAATCCGACAATCGATGTCAAAGCAAATGTAATCGATTACGCTGGAAACATTCAAAGTAAATATTTATGCATACAAAATAATTTCGTCGAATCGATGCAATTAAGAAGTTCCGGTTCGGTATTTTCAAAAGTTGGTTCGTCATTGACGAATTGTCATAAACAGTTCGGAGAACATATTTCAACGTTGTAAGATTGTTTTAAATCAGACCGACTCAACGGAGAATCCAAATGGTATGAACTTTTCTGAGAAGTAATCGAAACGTAAAGATTATTCAAAAGTGAAAGAATCGAGAGGTTTTTACCCGATACGAATGAAAACCAACAAATTAAAAAGCTGTAACTATAACGTCTGCTTCTCTTGAATTTTGGAAGAAAAAAAAACCGGTTGATAATGACTTCCGACCGACCGTGTGGCGATAAAAAAGTGATTTCTTCTATTTCTATTCGAGATGATTAAAGCAAAATATTTTAAGAAAGTTCTGCAATAATTTTAATGACAGCCATACTAGTCGTGTAATCGTACTAATTGAGCGTAGTTTTTAAATAACGGCGACTGTTGAAATAAACGTGATTTCGTTTAAGGAGTGCAAAGACATATAGTTTTAATCAAACTGTTTGATTTACTACGCCTAGAAACTAACTGCGTGATCAATAGATTATTAGTTGAATGTTATTTACCTCAAAAGTGTAGATTAGTTTTTGTGAATCAAGTACAAGACAGAGAAAAAAAAACCACTAATCATTGAAACGGGACATACAAAAAAAAACCTTAATCAACACATTCTCCGATGAAAGCAAAGGCAAATGATGATAAGATTAAAACCAAAATAAAATAAAAGCATTTCATATATGCTCGTCAACGATTCATTATCAGGGGCCCCACTGGCGGCTAATGTAATTTAAAAACGCATTTTCACTCCGTCGATTCTCACAACAAGCCATCCATTTCAATGTTTGTTGTCATATACGCACAAAAAAAATGATATTGTACAAAACAAAAACACCAAACCATAATTTCAATCAACACAAATATACAGACAAATTATATTTTTCGTTTTAAAAGCAAAAAAAAAATACAGACATCTTTATTATGACACATGCACTGATTATCTGATTTACAATTTAATTTTATTTTCCCCCGTTAATATTATTATGCTTGTTTATAAAAAAACGTATTAAACAGCTTATTTTATCATTGGCAAACACAACAAACGGCTTCATTTCCATCAAAATCACCACACTCAACTCATCCATAAAAACCAATCCATTTATTATAAGTAAAAAAAAAACTTCACCTCGAACAAAAAACCATTTTCCATGATAAAAATTTTTAATGAAAATTTAAGCAATTTTATCCATGTAAATAACGAGAAAAAAATATTCATGCCGCCGCCGGTATAACAAGAGCTAAATTAACCCTCATTTTCATTGCGCGAGCATTTCATCTCGACCATTTTTCATGTGTTTTCGTCTCTATCTTCTTCTCTCTCTCTCTCTCTCTCTCTCTCTCTCTCTCTGTTTTTTTTTCTGTGTATCGTTCTGTGATGAACTTTAGTTGAATATTTTGTTTCGAAGTTGATTTTTTTTTGGATTTCGACCAAATTCGATGGTCATTTCCCCACCAAAACAGTTTTTTTCGTTGTTTTTCCACATTTTGTGTTTTTCTTTGTTGGCTGATTCAAAATTGGTTTTTGTTGGATTGTTTTCTAGCTTACAACAAAAGTTTTGTGTTATTAATCGTGTTTGTCCTAAAATTAGGTATCTCTTTATTTTTGGCATGTTTACCTGTTTGTTTTTTACTTTAATTTTGTTGCTGTTGTTTAGAACTTGGGAATGCAAAAAATGAACTAATAACAAAATTTTTGTTCGAATCTCATTTCACATAACCATAACAAACCAAGAAAAAAATCATCATGAAAATCACTTGAAAAACGTTACAGGCACAAGAACGACAGGGATCGGCTGAAGATCGGATCAATCGACTGGAAGTGCAGGTCGATGAGAAAAATACCGAAGTGTTGCGTTTAAATCAACGCCTCAAAATGAATGAAGAGCATAATGCGCGCCTATCATCGACCGTTGATAAATTGCTGTCCGAATCGAATGATCGATTGCAGGTGCATTTGAAAGAGCGTATGCATGCATTGGACGAAAAGAATTTGTTGCAACAAGAATTGGAGAAGGCACGAAAAATGGCCGAAGAGCTGCATCATGATAAAACGGATATTGTCAAAGAACTGTCCAAGACACGCTTGGAAACGGAGAATTTCAAACGGCAATTACTGCAACAAGAGATTGCATTTAATATCCAACAAACTGAAGCGCTTACCCGTAGCCTATCGCCAAGCAATGTTACAACGGTCGAACCGAACAGCTTTACACGCAGCACATCGTCGCATACCAACTTTGATACTCATTCATTGCGACGCAACAAACGGCTCGAAGAGGAACAAGCGTATGCACGCAGCTTGGCCGAACAGGTAAATTCATGATACAAACAGATCTCATCCTTCGATTCCTCCCCCAGGTGAAATGTCTTTTAACTAAAATTTTTGTTCTTTTCATTTCTCTCGGCAATTAGGAATGGGCAAAGATGCCATCCGCACATAGTCTTGCACACGTTCAACCCGGTTTCGATGTTCCCACGGAGGTCGATGATGCGGAAAGTTTGTTCAGTACCGCTGAAATAATGTCACCAACGGGACACACCGATGCACAAACGCTGGCCATGATGCTACAGGAGCAATTGGATGCCATAAACAATGAAATACGTTTAATACAGGAAGAGAAACAGTCAACGGAGGCGCGAGCCGAAGAGCTTGAGTCACGCGTCGGCAGTTTGGAGCACATGAATTTGTTGGCGCGTGGCCGTTCAATGGATCGGGATCGTCAAAGTCCGCCATTAAGCGGACGCAGCACACCAAACAGTCCAAATCGTGATTATTTACACAAATATCATACGGTATGTTGCATCGTTTCTAAACATTTATACGTATTTAAAAAAAACACCCAACAAAGAACCAACCAAATTTCTACACACAAATACACACACGCTGGCGGTGTTTTATCTTTGTGGTGTTCGTTGTACTTTTTCCGTTTTTCGTTTTGGTTTATAATTCTTTTGTCTATAAATAGAGTCGTGTTGTTTTTTTCTTTTCCCGAAAAGTTCTCTGATTTTTCGATTCAAAGTTTTTGTACACACAAACACTAAACGGTTTATCTATGGCTTTAATTTTGGTTGTAGCAAATTTTATTATTTTCGAATGTTTGTTTTTAGATTACGGGGAGTTGTTGGACTTCTGTTTTCTCTCTTCCTTTCTCTCTCTATCAAATTTCTCTCATTATCTATCGTTCAAATTGTTTCATATACATATAGTTGTTGTTTTTTTTCGGTTTTTCTGTTCAATTCAGTTGGAAATTGTATTTGTACACGAAACTCTTCTCTATTCTCTACTCACTGTACATTTTCAAATTGCAACCAATCTATTATCGTTCTTTCTCTCTATTATGTCGGAATACATGCAAATTTCCGCTCTTTTGTGACACAATGAAAAAAAAACAAACAAACAAATAAACAATTCTGTACACGACACGAAATTGGATGTTGTACATGTTTTCCACGACAATTGGCAAAATGATTGTCTCTGTATCGTTGTGTCGCATACACACACACAACATACGAAATATGTGCTTTTCTCCGGCGAATGTAAACTGTTTGTGGGCGCACTGTGTGTATGTGGAAAATGAATACGTATGCAATTGAATTAAAATTGACAAAATGACAAATTGAAATTGCACTGAATTTGCACCGAAAACTGATTTACGTACTGGGAACGACACGGCGGCGATTATAGGCACCGGCATCAATGTCACCAGCCCATCTTCATCAATACGTGGCTTCGATTAGCCCAGGACAATTATCTGAATCGCTTCCATCGAGCCAGGTGAAAACATTTGAACTACTACTCTACCACAAATACGCAACCAATAATGATATATATCTATCCGGCAACCAAATGAAAATCCAATTTAAATTTCCACAAAACACAAACACACTGACACACACAATACAAACAAACTCAAATACACATACAACTACTGCCAATATTTCCCGCACAGACACACACAGACACACACACACACATAACACAAAATGCACACAGGATCCTCTGTATTTTCCTTTTCTTCCAAACGTTTGTGTAAACTATCTTTTATCGGTTTCTATCGAATTTTCTTTACTTTGATGTTGATTTTACCGTTTTCTACATTTTCAGGACGTGTTTAAACGTGATTTTTGTATTTACAGAACATCACACCGTGTACGCATTCTCTGTTTCTATTGTGTTATTCGTCTTCTTCTGTTTTGCATGTTTGTTTATGGGTTTTCGTTTTCATTTTGACTGTATTCGTTTATTGTTCTGGGTTTTTTTTTTGTATAAAATGTTTAGGATAAAATTCGTATTCGATTTTTTTGTGTGTGACAAAATCCATACAATTCATTTTGGGCTGATCGAGACCAAGTGATATGAATACTAATATGTATGCGGAATCATTTCTTGTACAAAGCCATTTTCTATATGGGTTCAGTGCAATGTGAATATCAATGTCATATTCCCAAATGGCCAAACAAACAGAAAATCAATACACACACACAAACACTACACATCACATTCACCTTTTTACACACATTATATACATACACACACAAACACACACACTAAAGCAATTCATACACCGGTTCATTGTACATAAAAGAAACTCTCCACTGTTCACAAATACAAAATAAACCGAAATAATAATCATTTTTATCTATTCTTTATAATGGTAGCACCAGCAATCAATGGCACATGACTGCCACTTTTCCCAAATACGAACATGTTCTTATGATTATTTTTATTTATTTGTTATCAACTGTGTAGCTTAATCTTCCGGCACTGTCTGCGGATATATCGCGCGATGAAATCCATGGAATGTCATCGACAGGCGGCGATTCGAGTTCAGGTGGTGCTGCTTCACCGCTCACCGCTCGTTCGATGCGATTGGAACGGGTTGCTCAAGCATTAGCTCATAGTCAAGAGGAGTTAAGACGGTACGTATATCAATTCTGTTTTGAAAATCAAACGAAATTTGGTCCATGCGAGTTGAATACCTTCTTTGAAAACCAATTGAAAATATATGAGATTGTTCAAGATTTTCTAGACAATTATAAAAGAAAAATGAGATTGTTTGCCATTTTGATACTTTTGTAAAAGATTTTTTTCTATGCTGAATTGTTTCACTTTTCTGCAATTCGAGATGCAATTGGCTTGCTTGATCGCTTTTGATACCGAATTTCAATCTGTAATCGCTTCTAAAGCTCGCTCAAAAAAAGACTGAAACCAAATTTGCTATGCAACAACTGTTTGCTCAAAACTAATTTCATGTTCGACCTACAAATAATTTCATTCATTATTTTATTAAAAAAAAAAACATTCATATTTCATAAGAACCAATCATCATATTCACATCATGAGTAAAACGAAACGAAAATTTCTTTGTATTTCATTTTGATATGCATTTTACATGGCTGCCCTGATGCGTGCTTGATGCTAAACCAAAAAAAAAAACAAATTATACTTCTTACATACATACACAACAACAAAAAATACAAATCTCTCTCTTTGCCACTTGATAAACACACACACACACAGACGCTCAATGGGATTGCCACCAGTGCAAGGACATAATAATTTAAGGTTAACTAACACCGGCAATTTGTATCAAAATCACAACTTTAGGTTAGACACAACACAATTTAACACTATTAAAAATAGAACAACACATCATAAACACCGTTCATCCATGCTTCCTCATCCTACAATTCAATTTCGGTCGCGTCCATTGCTATCGACCAAACGTGTGTCGAGTGTTCCGATGCCGGCGTCCATCTTGAAACCAAGTCGTTATCAACCGTCGCCGAGTAGAATTATCGGGAATCGCATTCAATTCGAACGGTCCCAACGGCGAATGCCATACCCATATCCATGTTCATACCCACAGGTTCAACGGAATGATTTACCCACATCTTATGATAACTATCGAATAAGTAGTTCAAAGAAAGTTCGACTTCAAATTCCACCGTTGTCGGTTGTACCAACGAGAGAACGACGCACCACCAGTCGGCATCGCGCTCGAAAACATTCAATCATTTCAAATATGCCTCTTATCAATGTTAATTCATCCGTTGTGATGGTGAATCATTCACCATTGGGACTGCGAGACCCAAGATTCGGCATTTTTCATCATTGCTCACAATCTATTTCGTACTTCTAAAACTTGTAAATGCCGCCACAATCGACACGTTGTATAGAAGTAAAGTAATAAGTAACTTATTACATATTACTTATTACTTTCATTTTATTACTGTAATAAGTCTATCTTACTACAAAGTAATAAGATGCGTAATAAGTAATAAGTCCATCTTATTACAGCAATAAGATTGTAATTGTAATAAGTATCTTATTACTTTTGGTGCAAAAAAAATCGCAAAAATAGTTTCATGTAAAAAACATGTCGATTTTCTTCAAAAGTTTCATACAAAAATCATGTCAAATTTTGCAAGACACATTTTTTTTCAACATTTTTTCGTCTGACAAAAATTGACATGTTTTATACATGAAAATTTTTTTGCGATTTTTTTTTTGCACCAAAAGTAATAAGATACTTATTACAATCTTATTGCAATTACAATCTTATTGCTGTAATAAGATGAGTAATAAGTAATAGGTCATCTTATTAAAGTAATAAGTAGGTAATAAAGTAATAAGAATTCGCAAAAGATCATTGATCTACGCGACGGTTCTGGTCTTGGACGATTACTACGCCCTTGACCAAAACCCCCATTCTAATCCATACATCCAATAAGAATTACATTTTTTTACTTCTATAACACGTTGAATATACGATGCACCAAAAAGTGATTTGGTATATCACCATTTTAGTACCGATTTTTGTACATTCTACTCTTAGCTCAGTTACTGAAGTTGAGTTCATTTTATACACGAACATGAACACGTTACTTTTTATACTTCTCCCTTGTACCGAAATACTTTTCCTTCAAAGGAAAGACCTTCAAAATACGATATACACAAATTCGGTGCTTCAGAAGAAATTGAATGCTTCCAGATAAAAAAATCACAATTTCTCAATAAAAAACATGGCATCAACTTTTGATCAAATCCAATATCTTCAACATTCTTTCCACATAAACACTCACACGTCTCTATCACACACACATACAACTCCATTCGATCCAACATAATACAGACATTTCAATTGTTTGCATGTTTTGCACGATAAACTATCGATATACTATGTTTTGTAAGACATTTCATTTTTGTGAATTTTTATATGAGTTTTTTTTTTTGTACGTGAGAATTTTTATTACGGGGGAAATAAATGTCAACAATCATTTTATTTCATTGTTTAATACACATTGTTTTCATTTCAAAAGTTCAATAACATTTTCTATTCACTTGCAAAAGCGTTTAATAGCTATGCTAGACGAGATTTTGTACCCTTCAGTTGAGATGTGCATTTTGTTGTAAAGTTTTTCCTCTTTCTCTTCTCATTAAGTTGTCTTTTTGAGTTCACTTAATTGTCCCGTAGGGCTAATTTTTAATCAAAACAAACTATGAAGTGCCCACCCCATTCTCTTGCCTTAAATTAATTCTCAATTCTTCATTTATGCTCTTTTGCATGCCGTCAACTAGAAGTATTTTATATGTAAATTTGAACCTGCTTTTTCCAAGTTTTAATTTCTATTTCTTCGCTTTTTTCCCCCTTTGCACAATTTTTACCTCCGCAAAATGTTCGCTTACCCATTTTGATTACAATCCATCCACAACAACACCACCAACCACCACTACTGCCGCCCATCATGTGCTGCAAACATAGCAGAGTTGGAAGTTCAAATTTTGGACCATCGCCGCTTAGTTCGCGTCACGGAAGCCAAGAATCATTACGACATCTCAATACCATGGGATCGATGAGTATGCTTCAAACACCGACATCCAGTGTTTGTCGTGATCAAGTGTCGGCCGCACAAAAGAAGAAGAGCATCAAATCGAGTTTGGGACGATTTTTCAGTAAAAAAGAAAAGGTAAACTTTAATGGCAGTGCAAGTTCTTTGAAAACTTCAAATTGAAATTGTTCAAATGGAGTTGAGAGAAATTTTAATCGAGACATTTTGTTTTCCGTTCGTTTAATTTGCAAAACAGGTAAAGGGTGTTAAGGATTCCATGCCGGATGGTTCGGCGAGCATGATGTCTATGAGCGGATTATCGTTGATAAGCGATATAGATTCCAACTATGATACGTTGAGCATGTCGGGCGGTGCTAGTCGTATTAGCAGTAAATCAGTTGATTATGGTCGCCAGAAGAAGAAGGACCACGATTATCGCCATGATTTACTCGGCGAAGCAATGAAAGCTGGTACACCGTTTGCACTGTGGAATGGACCGACGATTGTTGCGTGGCTTGAGCTATGGGTTGGAATGCCGGCTTGGTACGTGGCCGCATGTCGAGCAAATGTCAAATCCGGTGCGATTATGAGCGCACTCAGTGATACGGAGATTCAACGGGAAATCGGTATCAGTAATCCATTGCATCGCTTAAAACTACGGTTGGCCATTCAAGAAATGGTTTCACTTACATCACCGTCGGCTCCGCAAACAACACGAACAACATTAGCGTTTGGTAAGTGGCACCGGAGATTCTTGGAAAAAACAGTTGAATCTCTTCATCTCAGTAGGTTTTTCCCTGAATTAAAGAAAAATCCATTTTTTCGATTTTTCTTTTTTTTAAATTTCATTCATATCTTGACTAATTTCTCAATTTTTTTTCGTTTCCAGGTGACATGAACCACGAATGGATCGGGAATTACTGGTTGCCAACCATTGGTTTGCCGCAATATCGAACAACATTCATGGAATGCTTAGTGGACGCCAGAATGTTGGACCATTTGACAAAGAAAGATTTGCGCGGCCAATTGAAAATGGTTGATAGCTTCCATAAAACTAGTTTGCAATATGGTATTTCGTGCCTGAAACGCTTAAACTATGACCGCAATGTATTGGAAGAGCGACGAAAAGGATGCGAAAATATTATTGCCGACGTTCTTGTATGGAGTAATGATCGAATCATCAAATGGATCTCAAGCATCGGACTGAAGGTGAGTTTGATCACATAACGATTTTTCATTTGGAAATTCGTTTTTTTCTTATTGACATTTTCGACATTTATGTTTTTCGATCGATTTTATTTTACCTGTTTTTTTTTTTTAATTGAACGATTTTTATTACAAAATGGACGAAAATGAAATTTTGAAAATTTTCTTTATATTTCTACAGGAATATGGTAACAATCTCTTGGAATCAGGTATCCATGGTGCACTAATTGCCCTTGACGAGAGTTTCGATGCAACCGCTATGGCTTTGGCATTACAAATACCAACACAAAACATCCAAGTAAGTAAAAAAGAAAAGATGATGAAATAAAAAATGAAAAGAAAACAACGAAAAGTTTCGGATTTTTTCAAGAAATTGTCAAAAAATGAATAACTCTTTTTAATAAATGTTCATTTTCCAATGTAGGCTCGACAGACGCTAGAAATAGAATTTGCAAACTTATTGAAAGTTGGAACTGAGCGACGACCGGAAGCAGAGCAGTTGAATAAATCCTGATCCAACGCAAGCCTTAGCACCTTGAGCGATGAATAAAAACATCAATTTTCGTGTCCAGAAATAGGCGTTGGGTGCTTAGGCCGGTGAAGTGCAAACTCCCATCGATTCGAATGGGACGAGAAAAAATGGCTTATGTACTTGCCATGCAAAAACATTGAAAAAAAAACAATACAAAAGAAACATTTGAGAGAAAACAACAAATTCACAACAAAAGTCATTTGTGATTCCGTAATTTACACAATAAATAATCTAATATTATACAGAAGCGTATACAAAGCATAGTTGAAGACAAATGTTACTAAGTTGGAATAAACAAAAATGAGTAAACATAAGCATGACCAAGAATGCACAAATTTTTTATTGTCACTTGACATTGACGCGATATTTCATACAAGACGACAGAACGTTCTGAAAAGAAACAAACTGAGAAAGAAGGAGAAAAAAACAAAGTTTTTTTTGTATACAATTTTTATGTATATTTATGTACAAGCTTAGGTTATTCTTCTTTTCGGTCTTTTTTTTTCAAGTCGATTCAATTCGGCATTGATTCATTCTTGATTGAAAAACGAATTATTTTGTGCTAGTAAATTATTCGCACATTGACAATTCATCCAGAACATTTTCCGTTTTTTTTTTCTCGATAGATTTACTACTGAAGAAATGAAATTAGTACAACTAAGTCATAACAATAAAATAAAGAAAAAAGTGTTAAATTCACAAAGCATTCATTTAAAATAGATAATTAAAGACAAGTTTTATTTATTAACTTTACACTTTTTTCGTTATTATTTTATTTTTTTATTTGTTTAAGCTAATTTTAAACATTGTTTTTCGTTCCGTTGTTATCATTTTATCTCTCTTTTTTTTTTTCGCAAAACTTGAAAAAATATGGAACAAAAAAGCAGAAGAAAAAAATATCCAAAAAGAACAAAGAGCAAAAAAGAAATATTCAGCTAAGGAAACAGTTATAATTACTGGTCGATAGGTCGTTCAGCTAATCGTATGGCAAAATGAATGCTAAGCCATGATTTGAAAAAATGAATTTTTTTTAATGGAATTTGAAAGAGATACAACAAACAGTTTATCTTATGAATAACAATAAATACGCATAGAATGGCAATAAGTGACGGAAAGAATAAGTTGTGTTTACTTGCCATAGAAACAATGGATTATGTTAATGTATGTAGTCGAATTGGAGCTATTTTGTTTTGATGAAATAAAACAAAAGAAAAAGAAATACAAATCATATTAGAAGATGAAATCATATGGTAATAAAATGATAAATATAAAAAGAACATTTAGGTAATAGAAATTCACGCTTCACTGTAAATATATCCGATTAAAAAAATGCATCTCTCTCAAATAAACGAAAATTGATAAGAGCTAATTGGCCCAACCATTAAAAAGAAATGTTCCATCATGGAATTGCTTTTGAATATCGGTCGTTGAATAAAACAATTTCTCTGGAGACAATATACACAAATTTTGAAGATGTCGTCGATTTTTTTTTCTGAGTTTATCACATGGGATTTTTGTTTCGCACCACAAAATCACGACACAATTTATCCATTTAAATGAATGAAACAAAAAACATGCTGTCGTCGTAGTAATTAATGTATATATTTGTAAAGATAATGTTTTTTTGTTTGTCTAATTTCGATTTATTTTCAAACGGTTTCTTCGAATAAATCCAATATGATGGGAATATAATGAATCACCATTTTTGTTTTCAGACTTAAGGGGAGCAGCTCCCCGGGAGCTGATCAAATAAAAATAAAAGACATGAACGTAGTTAGAAATGAACAATTTATATAAGCATTTTGTGAACGGAATGGCATTCGACTATAACCAGTGGCATCAACAACGCATTTTATTTCTGCTCTCACTTTTTGTTAACATCCTTCCAGCTGATTTTCTTTCTTTCACTCGGTTTAATGATGATGCTGATGAGCCATAAGACAATGAATTTGCTTTGAAAGCGATGCTTTCATTAAGTTTTCGTTTAATTTTTCCATTTTTACTATTTAGATCAAACTAACGCTTGAATATATTTAAACCTAATATTGAAAACCGCTTGAAAAACCAACAAACACACACAACAACAACAAAAAACATGATATCAAAATAATTAGCAAGTACTATGGCAGGTATTAGAAATGTTTTGAATGTTTAAAATGATTTCTACAACCATGTAGTGCTTGGCTGTGATGCTCCTTCTAATTTTTGTTTTTCCTTTCTGCAACCAAACAAAAGCGCGCGATATATGGAAAATGGCATTTAATCAAGATGAAACAAAGAAAAAACAGTTCATATATTAGTGAAATGTAAAATGGAATGATGAAATCGTATGGAAATCCACAAAATAACAAAAAAAAAATTGAAACAAAATAGATAAAACTAGAACGATGACTACTAATAACCTTATATAGCCGTAGAAAAAAAAGAATTACTAAGTAGATTTTGTGTGTATAAAACCAGTAAACAAAAATGTCTATTTATTATTGATGAAAGAAGATGATACCAAACAGTTTGTTTTTTCTCGGTGCAAAAGTTGCATTTAGTAATGTTTTTCTCGATTTTCCTCTCTCCATAAATTCCGTTCTTTTGTTTCTTCATTCTGTGGTGAGAAATGAAACCAAAACGCATGAAAACTTCATTTCATTTTAGTGCCTCCTGTATACGATTCATATCTCAAAACGACTTCTTGACGAAGTTTTGCTTTAATTTGAATATAATAGAAGGCAATGTCTTTATTTTCGAATGAATCACACACAAATACTATAGACGTGAAAATATCCGGTGCATTTGTTATTATTGACAAGTAGCTACTTCTTGAAAGGAAAGACTGAAATCGGTCTTCAATCTAGTCAGAATCAAACGCTCATTGCATTGAATGAGTCACCCTAAAAATCAGATCCACTCTCATAAAATAGCATACACACACAAAAGCAATCCATTTTCAACCAATTTGTAAATAACGAAATAGCGATTCGATTTTCAACCAATGGAATTTAACAATAGTCCCAAGCTGAAGTGAAAAAAAAGAAAAATGGTGGCGATGTGGCTAAAATCGCAATAAACCTATTTGAAAATCACCTAGTGTATTTAATATATATAAAATGGGACGGGGGAATAATGGTCTAAATTAGGAATCATCGTTTTCAACTCATGCATCTGCCGTTCGTTCATTCATATCAAAAAGCCATAATCTAAGCAAAAAATTCATGTAAATAATGAGCAGAGTGGTTGAGATGCACGTGATTGACAGCAAATCGGAATGTTAGGCTGCATCAAAAACAGCCGAGAGTGATAGTTTCAAAATGCTTCCAGAATATTTTGAAATCAAACACAATGAATGGAAACTTTTACCAATTTCACGTTCCAAATGATGTGAAATCGCATTTTTTTTCCTTCTGTCGAATGACTGAACATAAAATCAAATTCAACATAAATTTCAAAATCAATCATGCAGAGAGAAAAAAAACCCTTTGATCATTCATAAATCATATCAATGTTTGTGACCTACAAAAAAAAACGAAACCAATCATCAAATCATTCATCCAATCAATCAATCAAATTTAATTTATTTACATACCCCTTATATTTGTTGCTATATTTCAAAATGAAACTATATTAAAAGACGAAGATTGTGGCGATGATGAAATGACACACACACACACAACTGATTCAATAACTAAAACTAAACATAGATGATGTATAATATACATTGTATATTTATAGAAATTATGCGCTAACTAATAAAAAGAAGCAAGTGAAGAGAAACTGTTGATGGCAAAATCCCATTTTTATTCCTGCGTGTTGCGATCACGCCCGAATTCTAATCAATATTCCTTCAGGGATGAATGTCAATGCAAAAACAAAAGAAGAGATGAATTCAAATTTGACACAAAAAGTTTGCATGCAAGCACATGCAAAGTATTTAATTAAAAAAAAACAAAACAAAACTATTTATTACAACAACAAAAAATAGTCAAACAAAAAGTATCTATAAATGAAATTATCGATAGCGATGCATTCGAAGTGGCACTGAATGCGATTTAGAATTCAATTCCAAATTGCTGCATTCATTTTCGTTGGAGTTTTCAAACTTACACATGCATTGCATTCAGTGTCACCTCGTTGCCGATTTGAAATGCATAAACAAATAACCAAAAAAAAAAAAGTAACAAATATGTAAATATTACAGATAGGCAAACGCCGAAATAAATTTGTCAAAACAAAATACCACAGCAACAACAAGAAATATAGCATTTGTATCGATAGAAATCCATTTATGTATTAACGATTGAATATAAACAATAAAAGGAGGAAGAAACTATTACATATACGAGACGGGTGTTTTGATTTTTCTCACAGAGTTGATGTAGTTTGAAACACACTTTGCTTTGTTTCTCTAGTGGCTGAAAATGTGATTTCTTCTTTTCACAGTAAAGAAAGAAGGTCTGTGAACAATGAACAGGGTGAATACGAACAGGTAAACAGGAAAAAAAAAACAGAACAATAATACCACTAAGCGAATGAATCAACGTTTTGTCGGTAGAAATAAAAAATCAAGGATATCAGTCTAACATGCAAAAGATGACATGTTTCAACCGAAAAACAAACGAATTACATACGTAATCCAAACTTTTCCGCTCCGCAGCAATTTAGTTTACCTCCCGCTTAATGTTTAACTAAAATTTCAATGGACCCTTCTTTCATAGCATTTTTGACCTTAACACTATGACTGTTCTTCATATTTGCAACATATTACTGTTCTTGGGGGACTCCAGGGCCCCCAAGATACTTCATATGAAATCTTGACTGTGATAAGAGATAATAAATTAGTGTCTGCAGCAAAGTTGTAATACTCAAAGTTTGCTATAATTTTGGTGTAACAAATATTGCTTATCTCTTATCAGTTCCGCGAAAAACGCGAAAAAACGCGAAAATCGCAAAATTTTCCCACATCGTTTTAGTGAAGATGATAAGAAGTAAGAGACTTGCCTCTTCGACAGAAATGTAGAGCAGCTTGAGTACTACAAGTTCACCATAGACATGAAATCGTTATCTCTTATCAATTTCGCGAAAAATGATTATCAAAAACTCGAATTTTTCGCGTTTTTTCGCGTAACTGATAAGAGATAACGATTTGATGTCTGTGGTGAAGTTGCAGTACTCAAGCTGCTCTACAACTTTGCCGAAGTTACCAAGTCGTTATCTTTTATCAGTTTCATGGAATACGCGAGAAACCGCAGAAAATCGCGAAAAAACGCGTTTTTTTCCTTATCATTTTTCACGGAACTGATAAGAGATAACGAGATGGCGTCTAAGGCAAAGTTGTATTTCTGGTTGAGTACTACAATTGTTACGATTCATTATTTCGTTAACTCTTATCAGTTCCGTGAAAAAACGATAAGGAAAAGAACGCGTTTTTTCGCGTTTTTTGCGGTTTCTCGCGTAATTGATAAGAGATAACGGAATAATGAATCAGAATAATTGTAGTCCTCGACCAGAACTACAACTTTGCCTTTGACACCATCTCGTCATCTCTTATCAGTTCCGTGAAAAATGATAAGGAAAAAAACGCGTTTTTTCGCGGTTTTCTGCGGTTTCTCGCGTATTCCGCGAAACTGATAAGAGATAACGACTTGGTGTCTTCGGCAAAGTTGTAGAACAGCTTGAGTACTACAACATCACCGCAGACATCAAGTCGTTATCTCTTATCATAGTCCAGTTATAATATAAAATAGCCATGGGGCCCTGTGGTCCC